TTTTTTTTATTGGTCTTATGGAGTATTCTAATTTGTTGAGATAGTGAGTTGGTGGGTTTTTGTTAAATGTGAGCCAAAATCATCACAATTAAAATATCCAAAGACTTAAACTACTTCAGTCTGTGTGCATTGAATTTATTTAATCCACGAGTTTCACAATTTGAGTTGAATTACTGAAATAAATGAACTTTTCCACGACATTCTAATTTATTGAGATGCACCTGCATAAAACATGGAACATTCACAAAAAAAATTTCTTATTTTTTTTTTCCCGTGAACAAAATCTAAACATCCTTAAAACACTTACTTTAGAATAAATTAAATCTAAGAAATCTAACAATTTTGTCAAGTTTATTTTTTTCAACACCTGAATACTGATGCTGTGAAATATTAATAGGCATTGAATTGAAAATATGATGCATATCATGTTCACTTAATATATATTTGGTGATGCATATTACATACTGCATTGCATAATGGCCATTATTTATCCTTATTAAAGGTTTTTATGGATACTGCTTTTATTACCAGATGACTGATTGCAGCCGTTTTAAAAATGGGCATATGTGAAGCATGTTTTTTTCCCCATCATTTAAAGGGAAATATAGTATATAAAGCCAAAAGCTTTACTTCGTTAGTTTTCTATTTGTGGTTTCAGTCTCATGAAGTCTTGCAGTGTTGTTGAGAGATGCATGTTTCTCTTTCATTGCTTTTGTCGCCACCTTTTGGTCACTGTGAATCTTACAGAAAATTTTCCTCTCAGGTCGCAACGAGCTTATTGCCAGATACATCAAGCTGAGAACAGGCAAAACCCGCACAAGAAAACAGGTATGTACTTTATATATACTATCGATTGCACTAAATATTTGTTTACATAACAACAAATAAGATTTTGTGTTGTGATTGTTGTGACACACTATTCATACATACATGAATAGTGTGTTCATGTATGTTTTTGTTAAACCATCTCGAAATTCTTCAGGTATCTAGTCACATACAGGTGTTAGCGCGGAAGAAAGTTCGAGAGTATCAAGCAGGTATAAAGGTAGGTTGGAAACGCACATCTTTTCCCTCTTTGGTTACGGCTTCTCTCTCTTTCTCCTCCTCTTCCTCCTCTGTCTTTTCCTCCTCTTTGGCTTTTCTGTTCTGCAGGTTTCTAGCCATTTGCAGGTTCTTGCCCGGAGAAAATCTCGCGAGATACAGTCAAAGCTGAAGGTATGCGCTTTCCTGCGGGTGGGGCGGGGCTTAACAGCAATTGCCTTTGCACAAACCAATGAAAGATCGCTATAAGTTCCAGTTATCTATTGGCTGAATAAAATCTTGAGTAATGAGTGCTTGCGTCAATATTTGGCGCAAAAAGTTGAAAGTGCTACGGAAAGCTGTCATGTAGTGTAGTGCTTTGCGTTTGGTGCAGCTGTTTGTCGTAGAGGATGAAGGTGCATGAATGGCTGAGATCTTTGCCCGTCGGCTTTCCTGAAGCTCACTGTTTCTTCAACCTTCCTTTCCTTGCATCCAGACTCCATGTATCTGTCACCAATACTCAGTTTTCACTTGTAAAAATCTGTCTGAAAAACTTCTGGATAACACAATACAGTAATGCAGTCAGCCGATATGGGTTTTTCAGATGACGATTATGTTATGAATCTGGCTGTGATGTAAACAAATTTGTTGAAATTAAATTAAATATTATTATTATCTGTGTGTGTGTGTGTGTGTCTGTGTTTGTGTGTACAGAGAGAGAGGGGGAGAGAATTTGTAATATAATTGGTTTATGGTAAAAATATTTTGTTTAAAGAACTTTAAAATAATTTTTTAAAATGTGTAAATTTAAATTGTGTATTAAGTAATTTTTATCAGGATTGCACAAAGTTAGAATAAAATATTGGACTATTTTTGTTTTGTTTTTATTTATTTATTTTTTGCCTTACATTGAGGATAAGTGGGTGAGATTGCAAAATTACATAAATATAATTTACATAAGCAGTGAATTCTAAACATTAATATATAGTATTTGCATTGTATTTTTGGTGATTTTAGATTGTAGTGTTTGGCGCCCCCTGCCAGTATATTCATGAACTACAACATAAGTAAATTATTTGCAGAAAAGCGTTTTTTTTATTAGTGCTTATTTGATTTTTTTTTTTTTCAGGTAAAAACATAGAACAAATGTGTCACATTTTTTTGCACAAAGTATGACAATTTCTGCCTGAAATGTTCTGAAACTTTTTCACACTTGCAAGCAATTTTAAGATCAAGAAAATAGTTCTAGAAGAGATCTAGAATAGAATTGAAAAAGATTTAGAATAGAATTGACTTTCATGTAGTTGGCATGCATCCCATACTTTGTTGTCAGAGACAATAGGTTTAGTGAAATTGCTTTCAAAATATTGTACTAATTTTCTTTCTTTCTTTTGATTCAGGCCATGAACTTGGTAAGTGTGGATTTGAATTGTGCAAATTATTGTTGATTTTATTTTTTATTTTTGCTTCGCTTTGCTTGGCTGTCCTGCATAGGTTCAGTTTACATCCAGCACTGCCATTATAAAGTCCTCTTCTCTGGCCCTGCGGTGTGCATAGATTGCTCATAATTCTTGTGTCAATAATATGCCTGGCCGTTTTGCTCTCTAAAGTTTCCATGTCGTCCCTCTGTTTTATGATGTACTGCAGATCATACAGGCTTTATAAATTCAAGAAACGTAATTGTGAAACAACACCACTTCTTGTGGTTGTGCTTCCGAGTGAGCTGCAAGTCTTTTTATTATCCGTGTTCATTTATTGTGATGCAAAGTGACGTGCTACACACTCAGCCTCTGGAAAACTGCAATGTCATGCCAAACGTATAGTTAAATAGCTTTCATTTGCGGGGCATGTTTTTCATGGGGTATAATTGAATATCCATGAAAAAGGAGCCTGACCAGATTCGGTGACTGACTGGTGAGCTTGAAGACAAAACTGGAAAGTGGTCCAAAAATGTGTGTGTTTGTTTGACATCCCGGGCCAGTATGCTGCTTTTGCTTTGCTGGCTGCACAATAATTGATATCTGTCAGATACCTGTATTGCTTTTTCCTTTTTCCTCTTCTTATTGGAACTGAAATCCAAAGATTCTTATTAAACATGATTTTAAAAGGCTTAAAGGCAGTCTACAGGTTCAGTAACTAATATCGAAACAACTACATAATTATAGTGTTTGCAAAGCAACGGAATAGTTCACCTAAAAATGAACATTTGTTGAAAATGTCTTCACCATCAGACCAGTTTGTTTATTCATCAGAACATATTTGGAAAAATTTTGCATTTCATCACTTGCTCACCAATGGATCCTCTGCAGTAAATGGGTGCCGTCAGAATGAGAGTCCAAACAGCTGATAAAAACATCACAATAATCCACACCACTCCAGTACATCAATTAATGTATTGTGAAGTGAAAAGCTGCATGTTTGTAAGCAAATCCTTCATTAAGGCATTTTAAAGGGATACTCCACCCCAAAATGAAAAGTTTGTCATTAATCACTTACCCCCATGTCGTTCCAAACCCGTAAAAGCTTTGTTCGTCTTCGGAACACAATTTAAGATATTTTGGATGAAAATCAGGAGGCTTGTCATCAGGAGGCTCCGTAGCACCATTTTGGAGAATATCCGCTGAACGCAAACTGCGTACACTATTCTGTGTCAGCCGCGACACAAGGATACGTTTTACATGTATTTACACTTTAATTTGAATGAAAACAGCGCATCCGTGCAGCGCGGCTGACACAGAAGAGCGTACGCTGCTTGCGTTCAGCGGATATTCTCCAAAATGGTGCTACGGTGATGCGGAGAGACACAGAGGAGACAAATTGTTGAATAAAGTCATTATTTTAGTTTTCTTCGCGTACAGAAAGTATTCTCGTCGCTTCATAACGTTACGGTTGAACCACTGATGGCAGATGGACTATTCTGATGATGTCTTTCATACTTTTCTGGGCCTTGACAGTGTAATTTACTTAGCAGTCAATGGAACAGTCACAGCCCTCCCGGTTTTCATCCAAAATATCTTAAATTGTGTTCCGAAGAAGAACGAAGCTTTTGGGGGTATGGAACGACATGGGGGTAAGTGATTAATGACAAACTTTTCATTTTGGGGTGGAGTATCCCTTTAACTTAAAACTGTTCTTTCTGGCCAAAAGTCTATGATAACGCTTCCTTCATTGAAAAAGTCCATCCCCTGTTGTCCTCGCATCAAAATATACTATATCAACACATTTGTTTTAGAGCTGTTTTGGACTTTTTTTTTTTTTTGTAAATGGTTCTTGATCTGTGCATATTTCTCTCCTGATTCAGACGAGATGACCTTTTGACTGGAAAAAGCAATATTATGAATAGCGAACTCATATTTCAGCCACGAGCAATGGTTTAAAATTAAAACATTTTAATGACTAATGTGTTTCTTACAAAATTTACTTTTTGGCTTCACAATTGATGGAGTGGAGAGGTGTGGAATACTTGTGGATTATTATGATGTTTTTATCAGCTGTTTGGACTCTCATTCTGACGGCACCCATTCACTGCAGAGGATTTATGAGTGAGCAAGTGATGGAATGCTACATTTCTCCAAATCTTAATTTCTTTATTTTTGGGTGAACTTGCTTTAACAGTAGTTTCGGCCTTGGGTTTGCTGTACGATTTCAATTTTTATAGACATATTATAGGCCTATTTTGTAATAAATTTTGA